AACTAGGCCCAGGGTCTAATGTATTAATCACCTATGTTTGCTGTTGATGATGGCTATTGCTTGGATAATGTATCTCATCCAGCAGACTAGTTCAGACTTCGTGGGGAAGCTAGTTTTCAAAATCAGAGAAAGGGCAAGACCTCAGATGCATAGGTTTTCTAGTCTATATTTATGCTACATTTGTTAATATCTCACTGACCAAAGAAAGTCACATGACCAATACCAGCGTCATTGTGGGAGGGGACTATACTGAGAGATAGGATTCATTGGAGTCTGTTACTATTGTAAAAATCGCTACAAGCACTAAATTAAATCCCGTCTATAAAACTTGGAGCACAAACCTGGCTGGTAGTAAATTCTTTATAAATGATAGCAACTATTATTTTTAGTGAGATAATTTTGATTCTGACTTGGTTCAGATGTTCCACAGGGTCTCCTTTCCACGTCATATTTTACTTCCTTTTCATTTTGGCCTTCCCACTGCTGCTATTTTACCTATAAAATTCACTTTCTGTTGTCTGTTTCTTTTACCCAGACCTTTCCCCTTATTTAGTCTCAGAGCATTTTTATTTTGTTAAGTTTGTCTTTCCTATATTTAGAATTTATCTGTCCTTAAGAATCTATTCTAAGGTATCTAACTCTCATCTTTCCTATGACTCACTGCAGAAATGGGCCTCATCTCTGTAATTTTACATAGACTGATATACATTTTGCATGTGTTTTGTCTCTTGAAGTGTGTACAAAATAACATTTTTATAATAATATATATAATATTTATAGCAGTAGTATAATTATATAGTATATTTATAAAATATAGAAAAGTTGCAAAAAAGTAAATAGCATATAACTTTAGCATCTAGAGATAATCACAAATATTAATATAGCCTTAAAATCATGTAACTAATTCAACAAATATTAATAAATTTTTACAGGGCCTCCCTGGTGGCGCAGCAGTTGAGCGCTGGGTTGCGAAGCTGCCCGCAGCCTCTGCAGCGCCAGTTTGATCCCCAGCTGCTCCCCGGCCAACGGAGGAGGGTCCCACATGGTGCGCAGACCTCTTTTGGCTCTGGTGAATTCTCACACCCTCCCGCGCTTCTGACTGTACCCAGTGCTTGTATAAATAAATAAACATAAATAATAAAATAAATAATTAAATTAAATAAAAAAGAAGTAGCAAGAGCATGTGCCATTGTCTGGTTTAAAATAAATAAATAAATAAATAAATTTTTACAGGTAAAATCACAGCTTATGAATTATTACTAACAATATAAGTGTTGGCTTTTGAAGGTTAGCTTTATGCCAGGCACTGTTCAAGGTGCAGGGAAGATACCAGTGAACTGAATAGCAAGTCTTTGCCACTCCAATAGCTTACATTCTATTGCAGAAAACAGAAAACAAATAGATGGTTTAGTAACAGACAGTGATGATGGTTTTGGACAAAACAAATGAGTATTATCAGTTAGAATTCTAGCATTTAGGACAAAAAAAGAATTCTAGCAGTTAGGATTTATTTTTTTAAAGATTTATTTATTTATTTATGCAAGCACTGGGTACAGTCAGAAGCATGGCAGGGTGAGAGAAGTCACCAGAGCCAGAGCAGGGAGCAGAGCAGGCAGACTGAAGTACACTGCTGAGGGGAGCAGCGGGTGGCAGGAGAGGTCTGCGTGCCATGTGAGACCCTCCTCTGGTGGCCAGGGAGCAGCCGGGGATTGAACTGGCGCTGCAGAGGCTGTGGGCAGCTTCGCAGCCCAGCGCTCAACCACTGAGCCACTGGGGAGGCCCCTAGCAGTTAGGATTTAAATGGATCCTTTGAAGGTGATAATCCCAACTTTCATGAAGAGGGTGGACAGGATTCCAGAAATCAGTAAAGGGTAGAAAGCCACCTTGGGGTTAATAATAATTAAGCCTTAAATTACAAGGTGGGGGGAGATTATTACCAAATCCTAGAGAATGCAGCTGTAGGAAAAGCAGCCGTGGGAGATTGGCCTTTGCTAAAAGAAACAATTAATTCCAACTCCTGGTCCACCAGAAAGGGAACCAGATGTAGGTTGGTCAACTCATCCTATTGCCTAGATTTTAGTACTGGATGTCTCAGGCAAACCAAGACAGTTGGTCACTTTATAATTTTCCTCCCACTTTTGGTCAAATCTAATTGCACAGAGGGCACATTTGTGTCTGGACTATGTATTTTGTCCTTTGAAAACAAATTGCCTCTCTCTCTATAATAGAAAGAGTCAAGTATAATGAAGCTGCGTCCCCAACCCCATTGACTTGCTAGTTCTTCTTCAGGGAATAGTACCTTTTTAGGATTTCATTATTAGCCTTTAGCAGATGGATGCTTGTGTCCTTAGCAGTGGTTGTAGACATACCAGCCTTGATCGGTAGAGGACCATATTGCTGAGTCCAGGCATAGCTTCCATCCCTGCCACCAAGATCACTTTGTATGTGAGTCCATTGGGTAAGCATTGGTAAAAAGGCTGGTTGACCTTCATAATTTGGATCTTGTAATTGAGAGGCTTCTCCACAGTGGATGCCCTTTGCTGAGGGTACACACAGGTTACAGATATATTCATTCTTTGTCCATTTTAGGGGGATGAGGAGTGCATCCTCATGCTTTTCCTCCAGAGTCCTTATTTCCAGTCTTCTAATCTTGTTCTTTCTAGGTACCTAACCAGGCAGATAACCCATTAGTCACTACCCATGAATCAATATAGACATGTATCTTAGACTGTTGCCTTCCATGGAAAGTGGACAATTAGGTGTATATCTGAAATTCTGCCCAATGGGAGGATTTGCCTTCACCAATGTGTTTGAGGCCATTCCTGAATAGGAATGTGTTAGGAAGGTCCATCCATAAACCAGTTCTGTACTTCTTCCTCCTCTGTTAACTGGTAACCAGGAATCCCCATGAGGCCATGAATATAAGTTGAAGGGGAGAGGTGGCAGAGCAATAAGAACAGGAACTATGGGAATCTAAGTCATAGCACATGAAATTTGCTTGTCTTCTAGACTTATTTTTACAGTGAAATACTGGTTTGTATGGCCAATGCTGTGACTAATGGGTCTAGTAACAGCTAGTACACAACAGTCAGTTTGTAATAATCATTTGGTGCTCTATAGCCTCTATTAGGGCTTCAGAGAAAGTCAGAGTCAGCTTTTCACATAGAAAATTATTGGCAGAAGACAGTATGGCCTTACTTCACTGTGATTTTCTTATAGAAGTTTGCAAAAAGTTCCATACAACATCCTTGACTGCTGTAAACACTTCCAATACAATTGGTTATCCTGGCTAATAAGGTTATATGACAAGAGAACTTGCATTACAACCTGAACCAACTGTGGGAAACCCCCCCCCTTTTTTTTAGTGTTAGTCTAATTCAAAAATAGCAACCTTACAAGTGTTTCAAATTGGCTACTTTAGCACATTCAAATGGTATTTGTTGCCTCAAAAATGCCTGAAAGTTCTCAACAAACATTGTGCCTCTCTTTGGTGGTAGGAATTAGTTAGAGATAAATGAAGTGAGAGAACAAGCCATGTAAATAGCTATAAAAAGAGTTTCAAGTGGAAGAAACAGCAAATGCCAGAGGTTCCTAGATGTAGCAGCAACAGTGTAACTGGAGTAAGCAGGTAATAGGAATGGTGGTAGAAGGAAATGAGGGCAGAAAGAAAAGGACTAAGTTTCAATAAGGTTGTAGTTTATTCTCAGTACCATTGGACCTCTTTATACAGAATAATAACATGTAAAGATCACTCTGATTTTTGTACAGAGAATAAAAGAAAAGTAAGTTGGCAAGAAGAAACCAACTGTTTTAAGGAGAGTACTTGCAAATTAAAACAACAATGTGAGGGCCTCCCTGGTCACGCATGTGAGGGCCTCCCTCGTCACGCAAGGGGTTAAGTCTCAGCTCTATGAAGCTATCAGCAGCCACTGCACACAAGTTCAATCCCTAGCCAGGGAGCTAACCACATGGCATAGCAGACCTCTCCTGTCTTGCCCACTGCTCCCCTCAGCAGTGTATTTCAGTCAATCCACCTGTTCTGTTCCCCACTTTGGTGAATCCTCTCACCTCCCCCCCCCCCGCACCTCTGATCTGTACCCAAGTTCTTGTATGCATAAATAAATAAATCTTTTTAAAAAAACAACAATGTGATATTACTTCAAACCTGTGAGAATGACTACTACCCAAAAGACAAGAAACAGTAAGTGTTGGAAAGGGTTTGAAAAGAAGGGGACCCTTGTACATTGTTAGTGAAAATGTAATTTGGGGCCTCCCCTGGTGGCGCAGCTGCCTGCAGCCCTGCAGCACCGGTTCGATCCCCGGCCGCTGGGCGAGGGTCCCACATGGCGTGCAGACCTCTCCTGCTGTGCCCACTGCTCCCCTCAGCAGTGTATTTCATCACTCTGCCTGTTCTGTTCACCACTCTGACTCTGGTGGATTCTCTCACCCTCCCGCGCTTCTGACTGTACCCAGTGCTTGTATAAATAAATAAATAAATCTAAAAAAAAAAAAAGAAAGAAAGAAAGAAAATGTAATTAGGTGCACCTACTATGAAAATCAGTATGGTGATTCCTCAAAAAGTTAAAAATGGAAATTTTTACATCCAGTTATTCCACTTCTGAAGAATGCAAAAACACAAATTCAGGGAGATATACTCACCCCCATGTTCATTGCAACCTTATTTGCAATAACCAATAGCCACGGTTTTTGGAAATAACCTCAGTGCTCACCAAAATTTCATAGGTAAATATTGATCTGCTTCAACTGAAACTTTCTTACAACATGGAAAACACATTCCATTTGGATTTTATTGTTCCAGATGGTGAGATTAGGAGCAAGATTGGAGAAATGGCTTCAGAAGAGGATATAACAGCAAAAAATGAACCATTCACTGAAGAGCCTGGCAACCCCAGAGACAGTGTTCTCTGGCATTCTGAACACGAAGAATTCTATGAATTTGGGGATAAACTAAGTGAAAAGGATCAGAACCTCTTTAAAAGAAGAAAACATAACTGTGAAGAATGTGGGCAAAACTTTGCTTGGTATGTAGGCCTTATTAGACATCAAAAAACCCATAGGAGAAAGCCCTATGAATGTGGTAAATGTGGCAGGGCCTTTAGTGTGAAGTCAGCCCTGGTTTTGCACCAGAGAATTCATACTGGGGAGAAACCCTACCCTTGTAATTGGTGTATTAAAAGTTTTAGTCGGAGCTCAGACTTTATAAAGCATCAAAGAGTCCACATTGGTGAAAAACCTTATAATGATATAATGATATAATGAATGGGGAAAAGCTTTCAGTCAGAGTTCCGATCTTATTATACATCAGAGAATCCATACAGGAGAAAAACCCTGTCAGTGCAATCATTGTAGTAAAAGTTTTAGCCAGCACTCAGACCTAGTTAAACACCAGAGAATTCATATTGGAGAAAAGCCTTATACATGTAACCAGTGTAACAAGCATTTTAGTCAAAGTTCTGATGTTATAAAACATCAGCGAATCCACACTGGTGAAAAACCATATAAATGTGATGTGTGTGGAAAAGCCTTCAGTCAGAGCTCAGATCTTATTCTACATCAGAGAATCCACACACTGGGGAGAAACCATATCCATGTAACCAGTGTAGCATAAGTTTCAGTCAGAACTCAGACCTCATTAAACATTGAAGGATCCATACTGGAGAGAAACCCTATAAATGCAATGAATGCGGGAAAGCTTTTAATCAGAGCTCAGTCCTTATTCTGCATCAGAGAATTCACACTGGAGAGAAACCCTACCCATGTAACCAGTGTAGCAAAACCTTCAGTAGACTTTCAGATCTTACTAATCATCAACGAGTTCACACTGGAGAGAAGCCTTAACCACGTAACCAGTGCAGAAAAATGTTTAGTCAAAGATCAGATCTCATTAAACATCATAGAATTCATACAGGTGAGAAACCCTATGAATGTGATGAGTGTGGGAAAACCTTTAGTCAGACCTCAAATCTTATTCTACATCAGAGAATCCACACTGGAGAGAAACCCTATCCATGCTGTGATTGTACTAAAAACTAGTCGTCATTCAGACCTTATTAAACATCAAAGAATACATACTGGAGAAAGACCATAGATATGTAATGAGTGTAATAAAAGTTTTAGTCAAAGCTCAGACCTCACTAAACATCAGAGAGTACACTCTGGAGAAAAGCCCTATCATTGTGGTAGTTGTGAGAAAGCCTTCAGTCAAAGTTTTGACCTTATACTTCATCAGAGAATCCACACTGGAGAAAAACCGTATCCCTGTACACAATGCAACAAAAGTTTCAGTCAGAATTCAGACCTTATCAAACACCAGAGGACCCACACTGGAGAAAAACCATATAAATGTAATGAGTGTGGAAAAGTTTTCAGTCAGTACTCAACTCTTACAACACATCAGAGGATCCATACTGGAGAGAAACTATATCCTTGTAATCAATGTGTCAAAAGCTTTAGTCAGCGCTCTGATCTCATTAACCATCAAAAAAGCCATAGTCGTGAAAAACCATATAAATGTGATGCATGTGGGGAAGCCTTCAGCATACATACTGATCTTATTGAACACCAAAGAATCCACACTGGGGAGAAACACCACATGTGTGTTCAGCATGACAGAAGTTTTAGTGAGCTCTGTGATTTTATTAGTCACGAGAAAATTCATTTTTGGGAATATATTCTAAATGCAATTAATGTGGGAAAACCTTTAGTGTATATGCCAACTTTATTCAGTACAAGAGACACTATAACAAAAGAAAAAACTTATGACTACTATCAATGATTATGAAAAAAATTTTTTAACCAATGTTCAACTCCTGTGCTACATTTAAAAAAAAACACTAAAGAAAAAAATACATTAATTTGGTGATGGAAGTTTAACTCAGAGATCAGAGAAAACCATACTTCACTAACCTAAAGAAAAATTCTAAGGGGAAATCTTGTGACTTGTGGGAAAACCTTTAATGTGAATGAAATTTTTACTGAATGTCAGAAATAATGAAGAGAAATTCCTATCTGCTGTAATGTAAAAGAAACTACTTTTTTCCCCAAACATAATCCACAATGGGAGAGTTTTATCATTGTAAGAAATGTGTGACTATGAATGCAGAATTTATCAAATACTGTAAAATTCAGTGTGATAGGGTATGCAATTAAAACTCAGAAAGACATATAACAGTGTTATAATAAAAAATCTTTAGTGAGCCCAAATTACTTCATATCAAAGAAATTATTTTTAGAATTTGTGAAAAATTTAAATCCCTTTTATATCTTAATCAGCATTGCTTTTGATATCACATTTATTTCATGACAGCTGAGAGTCCTACCTTATGCTAATTCTAGTTATTAAATACCCTGTGTGTGAACTTGTTACGTTCTTCTGGTGTTAAACTTACAACATAACTCCAGTGCCCCATCTTTTTTTTTTGGAGGGTCTAGTGTTAGTTTTCCCAGTATTCACCAGTTTTCAGGTTCCTGTGATATTCATAGCAAATATGGATTCATTTTGCTCTCAATAACACAGCTTACAAGCTTTAGTGGTTTGAAATTATGTCTTCAATATTACCATTCAACAATGCTTTTAAATATGTGAAACAGAATTTTAAAAATTGGCATATCAAAGTGAAGATTTCCCTACTATATTTATCTTGTCATCTATAGTTAATGATAGTTAAATACTCAAATGACTAGTTTGTACACCACATTCTATCTAAAAATAAAAAGATCTATTGATCTGCTTCTTCAAGTGGGGACATTCCCTAAACTCTTTTGTTTGTTGATTTCTTGATGATAGGCTACATATATGTGAGTTTTCAACTGAATAGAAATATTTTTTAAAAAATAAGAAAAATTGTGCATTCTCTTTCTGATATTAACCATTTGTTAAAATTCTGCTACTAACATTTACTTTGAATATCTCCCAAAACTGTCCAATTTATACTTTAATTTGATAGACATTGTTAAATTACCACATATAAGACTTTTTTTTTTTTAGGTTTTGTAGTATACACAAAGAATACACTTTTTTAACAAAGCATATATTGTATAGTAATAAAGAATGATATATCAGAAAACATGGTTCAGTGTAACCATAAAGGTAGACAAAGCTACTTGTAAGAGGTTGGAGGAGGCAGGGTTCAATTTTGATTGAACGGAAAAGTAAATCAATTCCTTTCAAATCAATTTTGATTTGAAAGGAAAAGTAAAAACTTGGACCTCATGGCATGTGAGTTTTGAGGGATGTGAGTAGAGGCACAGACAGGGAGGAAATAGTAAAGAAAGACACAGAAGAAGGAAGTATTTGAAATGATGTGAATTACAGTGCTTAGTCATTAGTTGACTCAATATATTGTAAAGTGCAGGCACTGTACTGAGCTGTAGAATTACAGAACAAAGGGAGGTGCCTTCCCTCAAGCTCAAATGTTATGAACATGTACTTAAAGGAATAATAGGTTGGAAATAGAAAATGAAGTAGGCGAGAAGACTGTTAAGGATGTGAATTAAGTAAGTATTATACTTCAACTTTCTAGGGTTTCATTCATCTGCAAAACAGTTAAATACTAAGTATGATTGGAGTACATTTTTATATTCCTGCATTTTATTCTCATGGTAATGGAAAATATGAACTAAGGAATGGCATGATCATGTTGCTTTAAGAAGAGTCTAAGATTAAGATGAGGAAAGAGACAATAGAAAGGAGAACTATTTTGGAAGTCTGGGAATAAAATTATGACGTCCTGAATTAGAAGAGCGAAAGGGCATTTATATGACAAGTTGAGAAGTACACAGGGAAAAAAGTGTTCAATTATTGTCCTCTCTTTGGGGAATTAAAGTGAAGAAGGAAAACAGGATGATCACATATTGAAGTTTAATCCTTTCTCCTGAGCAAATTTTAAGAGCTGTGCATTTCTAATGTCCTACTGGTAAACTCAAATTTATGAACTTCACATACACACCCCCATGATCCTCCCTCCTGAATTCCCTATCCTGGTAAATTGCACTAGTGAACACCTTGTTGTCCAGATGAAATAACTGTCAGTCGTCCTACATCCCTCACTCTCTACTTTCTAAACCCGCTTAGTAGGCTATAGAAAAAGTGAGTTAGAAAAATTGCACTACTTATTGTAAAAATTCAAATGACGGGAGGGGGCGGAGCAACATGGCGGCGAGGAGACGCTGCGAGTAAGATCTCCCATTAAAAAAAGTTAATAGGGAGGAAAAGCGGCAGGTCCCAGTGAGAACTGGGACACGGAAGATAAACGGGTGACGCCAGCAAACTACCCGAAGAAGAAAGTGGCCATAAAAGAGGACTAGAAGGGAGGGAAGCGCAGAACCCTGCTCCCCTCCCCCGCCCACAGAGGCGGCACTCTCCGACTGGCAGAGAGGGAGAAAAACAACAAACCAAAACAACCAACAAGAACAAACGACGCAGCAAGCGGGACTGTGAGTGGAAAGGAACTATTGCAGCCACCACACCCCGTGAACGGGAGCTGAGGCGAACCCTGCAGGATTCGCCGCGGCGGTGAGCGAACGGCTCCGGGCGCCATTAGAGAAGAACAAAGACCCCGGGAGACAAGCACACAGCCCGGGCTGCCGGTAAGCTGGCGCGGAAACGCGGCGCGCTTGGGGAGCTTGAAAAGCAAGGGCAGACCGGAATCGCGGCTGCCCAGGTCCCCGCGCCTGCGACCTAGGCTTGCGGGGAGACGACCTAGGCTTGCGGGGAGACGCGCGGAGGTCCTCACTGAGGTGAAGGTCCCTCCCTGAGTGAGCAGGAACCAGGCGCCCAGGCACGGGAGCGGTGCAAAAGGCGCCATTCCCGCGCCACTGAACTGGGCTACAGCCCGCGTCCTGGAACTGAGGGCTTTGAACTGAGACCCGGGGCACGAAAATTCGGGGCGTGGGTTCTCCACGACGGTGGGGCACAAGGCAGACACAGCACCCCAAAGCTGTTGAGGTGTACCCTACCATTCCCGCTCTGTTCCCTGTCCCACGGGGTGGGGGGGACGAAAAACAGCCCCCCAAGGACAATAGGAGAGATCTCTGGCGCCACCTAGTGACCAGGAAAAAAAAAGTCACTAACACCCCATAGAACAGGAAATTTCTTAAGACTGCTTGAAAAGGGCAGAAGGCTTCTGCAGTGGCCAGCCGGGAAGTTATTCCACGCCAGGCCCCTTCCGACCAGCAGTCTGAGCCCACAGAGGGAGCAGGCACCCACGTCCGGGGCAAACCGGGGGCGCAGAAGAGTGTGCCTGAAACCGGAGGCGCAGGGACTGCATCCCGCTTCGCCATTTGAGAACAGGGACATTTCTTCAGTAAAAACTGCCTAAAACCAGCAGAAAGCTCCCCCAGAAGACAGAGATGGCTCCTGGAAGAGCCAGAGGGGAGCGGAGAAGTTCACCCAAGATGTCAGTCAGTCCGAGCAACACAGTGTCCCAACGCATACGACAAATTAGAAAACAAACAGTAGGGAGTAGAAGAACCACACGCAACCTAACAACTCCTCAGGAAAGAAGCACACCACAAAAAGAAAACCACTCCCCAGATTGCAACGACAGCAACTTGGAAGAACTTCTGAGCCTTCCAGAAAGAGAATTTAAAATTGCCATGATTAAAAAAGTGATAGATCAGAAGAAGGAAATTGAGTCCCTAAAGAGGGAAGTAAGAGAAATGCAGGAGATCAAAGAATTAATGGAGGAACTAAAGAACTCTGGGAAAAGCAATGAAAGCAGAATAGATGAAATGGAAGAACGAATAAGTAATCTTGAAGACACAGAAATAAAAAGAACCAAAACAGAAAAGGAAAGAGAAGTACGAAGGAAAAAGAATGAAGAAAGACTTCGGGAACTATCTGACTCCATGAGGAAAGGAAATATAAGAGTTATAGGAATTCCAGAAGGAGAGGAGAGAGATGTAGGAACAGAGAAAATATTCATGGATATAATTGAAGAGAACTTCCCAAATGAGAAGAAGGAGCTGAAAATTGATATACAAGAAGCAAGAAGAACACCAAACTTCCACGACGAAAGGAAAAACACAGCAAGACACATAATAGTAAAGCTCCCAAGAATCCAGGACAAGGAAAAAATAATGAAGCTGACAAGAGGGAAGAAACAGATAACATTCAAAGGAAAACCAATCAGGCTGACATCAGACTTCTCTGAAGAAACACTACGGGCAAGGAGAGAGTGGAGGGACATAGTCAACAGACTCCAAGAAAACAGATGCCAACCAAGAATACTCTATCCCGCAAAGCTCTCTTTCCTCCATGAAGAAAGAATATGGACCTTCCCAGACAAAGAGAAACTCCGGAATTTCATTGCGACTAAACCCCCACTCCAAAAAATACTACAAGGAATCCTAAAGCCAGAACCTCAGAGGGACGAATAACAACGAAAGAAGACCAGAAAAAAAAAAAAAAGTTATTAAAAGAATAAATAAATAAAATCAAAGGAAAGACAAACATAATGGCAAATACAGATGCTAACATATCAATATTAACTCTAAATGTAAATGGACTAAACTCTTCAATAAAAAGACACAGAGTTGCAGCCTGGATTAAGAAACAAAACCAACCTTTTGCTGTCTCCAGGAAACACATTTAGCTACAAAAGATAAAAATAGGCTCAAAGTCAAAGGATGGAAAACAATCCTACAAGCAAATGGGCCAAAAAAGAAAGCAGGAACAGCTATACTTATATCAGATAAAACAGACTTCAAACTCAAAAAAATAAAAAAAGACCCCAATGGTCACTACATTATGATTAAGGGGACAATACTTCAAGAAGAAATAACACTCATTAACATATACTCACCAAACGAAAGAGCACCAAAATATATCAGACAACTGTTGTCCTCTCTGAAAACAGACATCAGAGAAAACACATATGTAGTGGGAGACTTCAACACACCACTATCAACAATGGATAGATCAACAAGACAAAAAATAAGTAAAGAAACTAAAGCTCTAAATAAGGACCTAGAGCATTTGGGCTTAACAGACATCTATAGAACACTAAACCCAAAAAAAACGGAGTACACATTTTTCTCAAGCGCACATGGATCATTCTCCAGGATCGATCACATACTGGGGCACAAGACAAACATCAACAGATACACCAAGATTGAAATCATACCAACCATCTTTTCTGACCACGAAGGCATCAAACTAGAAATAAATCATAAAAAGAAGGCAAGGAACTATCCTACCTCATGGAGATTAAAAGCCACACTACTGGAAGACCACTGGACTAACGAGGAGATCAAAGAAGAAATTAAAAAATTCTTTGAATTGAATGACAAGGAGGACACCAATATCCTAAATGTATGGGATGCAGCAAAAGCAGTAATAAGAGGAAAATATATAGCAATAGAAGCTCACATCAAAAAACAAGAAAGAACTCAAAGAAACAACCTAATCTCGAAGCTCAAAGATCTAGAAAAAGAACAACAAAAAAACCCCAGAACCAGTAGAAGAAAAGAAATAATAAAAACCAAAGCAGAAATAAATGAAATTGAAACTAAAAAAACAATCCAAAAGATCAATGAAACCAAGAGCTGGTTCTTTGAAAAAATAAATAAAATAGACAAACCCCTAGCCAGGCTCACAAAGGAAAAAAGGGAGAAAGCACAAATACACAGAATCATAAATGAAAGAGGAGAAATCACAACGGACACAGCAGAAATCAAAAGAATAATCAGTAACTACTATGAACAGTTATATGGAAACAAGTTCAACAATCTAGAGGAGATGGACAAATTCCTACAACTCTACAATCACCCAAAGCTAGATAAAGAAGAAATAGAACACCTAAACAGACCAATTACAAGCAGCGAAAT